CAACGAAAGGAGACTGCGACCACACAAAAGGCCACACCATCTTGGTCTTCATATCTTCGATCAAATTATAGATATTAAGTCTACATTTTGGAAGGATATATATCGAGGGTTCTTACTTCGGAGGACGCTCACAAACTCCAGATTCTCACTGGCTAGAAGTCGCAGAGGGTTACGAAAGCTAGTTCCGCCCACTTCATAGTCTATATTTCGACGAAAACACAAGAATCAAAAGTTGTCATTGGGAAATTGAATCATCTGTATAATAGGGTCTTGCAATTTTATGAAGTGGATAATTGATAAAAGGAAAAAAATCCCTTTCCTTTTAAGCCACAAGCATATTTATTTATCGAATCATAAATTGATAGCAATAACTTCCTCAATTCTACCTTGCTTGCTTTTAAAGCTTCGCCTGTCATGCTAGTCTCTTTGTGGCCTGGCAAATCCCAAAGTTTCGTCTGTGGAGTTGATTCATAATTATCTTGTTTTGGATCCTCCAGACCTGCCTTATTGGTGTAAAATAGAGGAGATAGCGGCGATGGAGCTGGAATAATCGGTGCTAATGACTCCAAAGAACCTGGGGCAAACGGGACTGTCAGTAGAAAATTGTGACCGTCATGATTCATTTGGGAACGTGAAGCATCGCTATAGTCGTCAAATATTTGCTCACTGGGATAACTAGAAGAAAGTGCAGAAGTTGCATCATCTTCTTTCATGTCATTCCCATCTGATGCCCCTACCTCTCTACTCTTCGGTCTTTTTCCAGCACCCCATTTCGATATGTCAGATTTTCCAGGACAGATATTGCTGGTATTTGCGGCTGTTGCAGGTGGGCTTGCGGAGCAATGAGTAGGAGTGTATCCAGAGAATCGTTGTGTGTTACTTGTAATGGCAAGGCTCTCATCAGCCACTTCAATAATTGGATCCGTGATTCGAGGGATGTGTGGATGATCAGCAAGAAAGTAACTAGATTCGCTAGGACAATTGACAACTTAGAAAGGCAAAAAATTATAGTTTACTAATTAACAATAGTACATTTTAAATAAATATTATGTTCATATTTAATTATAGCATCATTTGCTAGTGAGTAAATTCTGGTAAGAAATCCAAAAGTACATGAACTAGCTGAGAAAATAGAGAGTAAATGAAAGTCGTTCACTTCAAGTTTTCCCTATTTGTCTTTCGAGATAAAATAAACTTATAAGCCCGAGTTATAAATCATAAACAGCTTATAAATATGGACTATCTAAGTGAAATTATCACCCATTTTTCCAAATATTAGAAATGTGCAGCTTGCTTTAAGCGAATATATCAAAAGGATAACTTTTGCAATGCTTAATTAAAGCATGTACAATGCGGAGAGACCAACGTAAATAACCAAAAATTAAAGTTATATCGCATTCCCCGAGCTATTTCAAAATTAAAATGTCTGCTTAAATGAAATTGATAGAAGCAGTTGAGCACAAATCTTTTTCATTTTTGTATAGAATTTGCCGTTTTTGTAAAGGTATAAATCCGCTATATCATTTACAACCCAAATTTTATTCGGAAACCCTATACTAAATCTAAGTGACAATTTTTAACTTTTACAGGTGCCTAAAATGGCTGGATGGGAGTTAACAATGATCTTATAGAATATTGGCCTAGAGGTAGGAAAAAATAAAAATAATGCTAGCTTAATCACATTTGTCCTAACTAACAGGGTGAATGAAGCGTATTCTAGTTCGACAATAATCCAAAACACATTTGTGCCCTTCAGAATATACTGAAATTATTCCCTTAGATAGCCAAATCTGTGATAATTTAAGTTTCGTCGAAGATATAAGCACCAAGATGGCGTGGCCGCTGAT